GAAACTGTAAGCCAGCCACAATTCAATGTTGTCCTTTATAAGTAATGAAACACTAAGACACAGTTATACTAACTGATTAGAATTATACACGGGCATTATTTACAAATAGAATACTATTTGCTATTTACTGTAGAATACTATTTGTAAATAGCAAAAATAAGGCACTATGAAATAAAAAAAACTTGAATAATATTATAAATAATGCTACTACTTTGAACTGCTGAAAATTACATTATAAAATGACTACAGATCAATAGTGTAACCACAACCATCTCCTGATAAAGGAAGCAAGGAACCATGGGAAAATTAACAATACAATACTATCCCTTATTAACACCATACACAGAAACAGAGAACCAATAATATTAGAGAAATGCTTGCTATTTTAAAGAAGATTACAAGGTTTTGCTATTCTTACTGCTTTGAGGTAGTATCTCATCCTATAGCACAGACTACCCTAGAGCTAAATATTTAGCCCAGACTAGCCTTGAGATCATGGCAATCCTCCTGGCTCAGCCTCCAAAAGACTTAGCTACAACATCCAGTTCCTAAAGAACATAATTTCATCTCTTAACAGTGAGATAAAGACAATTCATTGAGAGCCAACAAAGAGTTTTATATTGTTGTAGAAGTGAGAAGAAAATAAAAGTATATAAAACAACAAAAGATAAGGTAAAATAAATTAAAAATTTTAGAAAATTCAGCCCTGTTTTCCCTTAGGGTATAAATGTCCCAGAAAATGTAGCATATAACCTCTGAATGAAACACATTTCATTTCATTTCATAACCTCTTGTACCTAAGAAGCATAATCATCCAATTCTTTTGGCTCATTTCAGTAAAAATAAGTGAACTGAAAAGACAACTTCCAATACAAAATAATTCTCAGTAATGTATGCAGCTTTTCTGCCCTCCAAATGTTAAAGACAGTACTTCACTCTGTACATATGGGCTGTATACCATGAACCATCCCAAAGAGTACAACATGGCATAGAGCAGGTAGAGGCAAGCACCAACACAGTGACAAACAGAATCAACAGTGATGTCAATGGTATGTTACCGCCCCAGAACAGAATATCCATAGTCATCTAAAGAAACATAGCCAATGACCTCTAAAAACAGGAATCTCACAATATATAGGACCTAAGTGCTTCAAAGATGCCAAGATTTCATAACAAGGAAAGTCTCAGAAACTAGGACAGTCGAGATATGACCAAACAATACACTATTTTGGAACCAAGAAAGGCCATTAGGTTAAAAACTAAGGTGCTATATAGCAATTTGCACCTGTATAAAATCATCTACCTTGGAGGGAGGCTAATGATGCAGGATGTTCAAAGGTGAGGTGAAATACTCCACCCCGTAGGTAAGCCCCTTGACTTCAGAAAGCAAACAACTCAAAGGTTACAGGAAGCCCCTGAAGCTGAACAGGTTTACTAAGTATCCTCCCTCCCCGAGTGTATGTAAACAGTAAGAACCGCTGGGAGACATTCTCCAACATACTAAATACTGCAAAGATGACAGGAAGAGGTGGAAGCCAGCTGAACTGCCTGAAAAAGACACTTTCCAACCTGCCAAACTGCCTATAAACTGTACAGATTTGGTGGGCTGACACCCATGCTACATGGGCTTTTGTGATGCTGCTGTCTTTGAGTGATTTCTGTTCCTGTAAGTAACTTGCAACAAACTCATGGGTTCACCAAGTTGGATGTTGGTGGTATCTGTATTTTGATCTGTTATTGATTCCCTATGTGGGAGAGTAAACATTTGTTTGCATCTGCCAAGAACAATGTCACCCATTACTATACAAAGAAATTTGAAAAAAGAATATGGCTAATAATGTCAACCTTGTTTCCTTACTTATAATAAACACACCACATATTAATACATTAGTTATAAAAAAATTGGCATTTGGCATCTGAAAACTCTTTGTACATATTCACAGTGTTCTTGTAATCCTAAAACTATTTTCAAATGCTTATTTGAAATTATAATTGAATTAATAAAACATAGTTATAAATACCTTATGGATTATCATGAACCTTTAATAATGTAAAGAACCTTGCTCTCAGATCCATTGAGTTAAACAAGGTTTCAGTTGTCTAGACCACTTCATGTATTCGTTGCTCCAGTCAGACTTCCCATGCTTACAAACAAATCTACTCAAAATTATAAAGAAACATATAGCAGCCATAAAGTTTTCAGCAGTCATTGCATTAATGTTTTCATTTTGTTCTGTTTTTTAGGTTTATTCACTGTTTTGTTGTTTCTCTTGGCTTTTTTGTTTGTTTTCTTTTATGTTGCACAGAGATCCAGTGACTGATAGCTACACACCCAACCCCTGTTTTGATTACATTTACTAAAAGTAATTTCAAATTGCTTTAGAGGATATATACATACAAATATATGAATACATACAAATATGGTTTTGTCTCATTATGAACAATTTTATTATCCATATCTCTGACTAACCATTTCTCATGATCTGAACAGTTACCCACTCAGTAGTTAGAATGTGGCAAATTACTAACACATTCAATTTCAATTCTTAAATGGCAAAAACAATACTAATACCAGTACTCTAACAGATGGCTGCTGAGTACCAATGGAATTAAAAATTGTCACTATGCTTACCATAGAAAAAAGAAAGTCCTTCATAAAGCATAACCGTTTTTTTATTTTTATTTTATTGCTGTGTTGTTGTCATTGTTTACTGTTATTATTAAAGTAGCAGTAACTCTTTTCATTAATACAGTACAAAGTGTAGACATGAATCACAAGTCAATTAGAGGCCTAGCAGTGATTTTTGCAGTGACTCAGATAAAAAAAGTAAGCAGCTAAATCAAATTCCTTTCCTGGGAAAAGAAGGAAAGAGAAGAAGGACCTTCTTACACTGTCATTGCCAAAAACAAGCCTGTAACCTTTAGACCAGGTGAAATCCAATCCGTTCTTAGCCAATAACAAAAAAGAAAAACACCCTCTAGCTTTTTTGGCACTAACTTCATCAAAGCCACCCAAAACAAGCACATGAAAGAGCCAAATGAACACCAAATCCAAACCTCACCTTGACTTTTTGGGTGCCAAGTTCCTGCTCTTTTGCCCAGAATTCTTTTGGCATTGACACACTCTATTTCAGGCCTCATCTCCCTTGTTCTAGATGGGACAGACAGGAGGGATTTTTTGTTTGCAAATGCTTTATTATTAAATAGTACATGGCACATACTTATCCACAGTTTCTAGCTCTCACTGTAAGGACTCATAGATGATTAAGCACAGTCACCTGAAGAAACAATGTATCTACTGTAGACAACTGTGGTAAGACCATTGTGACTTCTGTGCACTGAATCAGGAACTTACTATAAAGACTCTTCCAGGAAGAGGGAACTAGGCAGCCAATCATTTTAAAACTAAAAACACATGCAAGAACTGGACAGGGTCTGAGTCCACAAAGAGACTCTGTCTCAACAAATGAAAGTGGAGAACCATCAATGAAAACACTCAATTCGAAATTTAGACATCTACACAAAGGCACACACACACTCACCACACAAATAATACAATGAATGACTCAGGTGCTTGTTATAAAAAAAAGCTACTTTAGAAAATAGTTTTGATAGGACTCTCACAAGCTTGCAGGGTGTTATCCCCACTTACAAATATAGCTAATAAGACTCAGAAAAAGAGAAGAGACATGCCCAAGGTCACATAACTATTAAGAAGCATACATTCTAGTGTGACATCCACAGTGTGTATGCATACCATTTCCAGAAGTTTATTTTAGTCAGGGCTAGCCTCTGAAAGCCCATATATTGGTGTCAAAATGCAACAGGAGATAACAGGAAATGAGTATGTTCAGCATCCAGAATTACTGGGAAGAGCCAAGGACCAACTCAAAACTGAGCTGAACTGAGAGATAGAGAAGTGACAGCGATGTGAGAAGGGGAAAGATGGAGGGAGAGAAAAACTGGAAGGAGGGAGGGAGGAACAGAGAGAAAGGGAGGAAGATGGGAGGGACAGAGAAAGGAGACAAAGAGGAGGAAGAGGCTGTGGCTTAGCAAACAGTGGCCCCAGATGCTCCTCCTTCTTGGTTTCATTTTTTTAGCCCAGCGAAACCACACTTACTAGCAGGACCTTGACTAATAACCACATTTGGCTAAAATAATATAACATTTTGTTCATTACTGCACAAAAGCAGAAAAAAAGACTACAGAAAGGCCCCTCTAAGATAACTTTAGATAATGCCAAACCAAAGTGTAATGCTAAGAATGAAGAACCTTATCTGTCCTTATCTGTCCTCTCCAATTGCTTCTTGTCCTCAAACAGAGGTTATCCAGTCTAGATCCTGATTCCTTCTCAAACCAGAAGACCAATCGTTCCCCTAAATCCCTTTGAACATGAGGTCAAAATGACCATCTCTTTGCCATACCAAGGTTTCAAACCTAGCTCCCTTCATACCCACAAACAGCAGCCACATCCTCACACTCAGTGACCATTTGTAAAGTAAGCTCAGCTCATGTGGAACACAATTTTTAACACATGTAAGTTACTCAAATGTAACCATTAAGTTAACACAGGTACCACTGTAGTTTGGGATAATTCTAGGGTATTTCCATAAAACGTGACTTCAGTTCATAACACATGCACTCAGCTAACATCCAATTCCTTGCCAAACATCCTTTTCTCTCTTTAATTCACCACATAGAAGGCATCTTCAGAAAGAGTTGAAGTACATTCTTAATTTTAACATCTCCCTTCAAATGTGTCCAATTTTAATGAATGGCTTCACCTTGTATACTCACATTCCCAGCAAGATAGGAAACAATGGGATTTAAGCATATGCAGTGGAGGCAGAAGATAGATTCAAGATGTTTCAAGTATGCAAAATCACATGCAGATGTAAAAACATTATGTCGTCCAGTCAAAGAGAGTTAAGAAAGCAATATAGAGAGAGACACCCAGGACTGGAAGAACACAAATAAAATCTAACTTGTAATTAACATACCGTGCTGTGACACCTGTTGCCTTCCATGATAAGAAGTCTGGGAGATCAAAGAAATGTCCCGCCTTATCCCAGCAAATCTCTCTCAAGTTCTGCCAAATTAAATATATATTAGAATCAATTACGAGGTTTTTTCCCCAACTCCTCTCCTCTTTCAAAAATGTTTCAAATTTTTCAAAACAAAAACGGAGCCAACAATGTTCATGAAAACATCTGTGTAAGGGCTTGGGGGAGGGTGGTATAAAAGTAGTATTTATACAGTAAAGAAAACATGACGGTTATTGATCCTTCCAAAAATGACCATAATTTTCCTTTTGTCCCCTTTGCAACCTGGCCAGGGAGAAGGCCTTTCGGTTGATATATAACTCAGCCTCTTGGCAAAGGCAAGAGACTATGCTTCAAACATGGAGTAAGAAGATAACAGCTATACAATAGAAGAAAAAAAACACACTAAGTCAAGACATCTACAATGTGCCTTGTCAGAAAAATTCCCCACATACTGACTGGTACCAAAGGCAACTCAAAGAATTCCAACCCAAGCCAGTATACAGTCAAATCAAGAGGATGTTGCTACAATTACACATTTATTTTATTCTATATTGTCAAATAGCCAGATTATTTTTTCTTGCTGCTGGGCTTTTCATTTGTCTACCAAATCTGTCTGGACAACTCAGTCCTCACTTGCTGCTCTGTTCTTTCCCATGGCTTGTGTCCTCCTGCGCATTGGGTTAACCTTACAATCACTAGTCTAAATCCCACTCAAAGTTGTACCTAGTTCCACACCATAAACACAATTATTAGGGTAATGTGGTAGTTTTTATATGCTTGGCCCAAGGAGTACCACTATTAGGAGGTGTGGCCTTGTTAGAGAAGTGTGTTGAGGGTGGGCTTTGAGGCCCACCTCCTAGCTACTTGAAGATAGTTTTCTGTTTGCCTTCAGATCAAGAAGTAGAACTCTCAGCTTTTCCAGTACCATGCCCACCTGAGTGCTATAATTAGATACCTTGATGATAATGGACTGAATCTCTAAACCTGTAAGCCAGCTCCAATTAAATGCTGTCCCTTATTGCCTTGGTCATGGTGTCTCTTCACAGCAGTAAAATCTTAACTAACAAAGGTAATGTCCTTCATTTCTCCTGCTCTGGAAGCTCAGTGAAGTCAAGGATTTTGGCAGCTTTGGTGAACATTAAAACCTCTCCTCCTACAGACTGAGTGGACATTTCATAACTTTAGTCCTCTCATGATAAGTGCTTGATTAAACCAGAAATTGACATGTGACTTAGCTAAGTCAAGTATATTTCTTCTCCTAGGATTTAGAAATCAAGGTTGAAATGAAGCCATTCAAGCTGTGCCTGAAATGGAAACAGATATTAAGTCAACTTGGAAAAGACAAAGCAGCTACTTTCTGCAAAGCTCCTAAAGTTGAAGAACGTAAAAGTGACAGAAGACAAAGCAAGAAAGGACTGCCTGTCACTTAACTTGCTATGTCTTCTTGCTTTTAACTATTCTTTTTTACAATACACACAAAAAAGGAATTTATCATAAGCTTGGAGTATTTCCGGAACCTAAAGTCAATGATGCAGACTTCAAAAGAACATATTGTGCCTTTGTAGTACAATAAAAATCTACTGACCTACTAAACAGATTGCTTAGCTTCTCCCTTCCAGTCTCTCTGCTGTGACAGGGGCCTGTTATGGTACAATGACTTCCACCTGTGTGACTTGCCCTCTCTCAACAATGCAAAAGTGCTAGGAATTATTACATCAGTTTGACAGACACATATCTAGCTTTTACACATTTGTACCCTCAAATTCTAGGTTTTTCCTACTTACTGTCCCTTTAAATTCTACTTTAGCACACATATCCATAGCCAAGCACGGTCTCATGTACAGGGGTCTAGTACAATGAGGACATCAAAGGCTCAGGCATAAAAGTCAAAGTATTACAACCATTCTGTTCCTGTGTATGTTAAAAGCCTCTGTAGAGAAGGAAATGGGTCCCAAATTTCTCCTTAGATATCCATACATCTTAACATCAAATAAATCAAAGCTACAAAATATTCCTAACACAGCTATGAACTTGTATAACCCTGTACACTTGACAAGTTACAACCAAAAAGTAGTAGCCTTTGATATTATGTGAGTCAAACTACCAGTATGCCTCTTGGATAGTCTGAAAAACCTATTTCCATGTGCTTTGTGGTTGCGGCAGTTGGTGGTCAGGGAAAAAGCAGCCTCCTTCCTTCATTCCAAAAATGCAAGACCAGTTACCATGCATCAAAGGCCAAACCACTACAGAGCAACCACTACTTCTAGTCAAAGCCAAATAATCACCCTGAGCTGAGAAAACAACTGCTTCTGTTAGGTTTTATGTAGGGTTACTAAAGGCCATACATGATAGCAATCTTCTCCCTGAAGACGTACCAATATCTGCTGTGGACAAAGATATCTAAGCAGAACATCACTGAGAAAGCTTCAAGGTTTTATACTGTGTCCTGAGAGTAGGGGTGAGGAGCCCCGGAGCACTTTGTCTGGAGCTCATCCCAGCCTTGGGGGTCAAAGTGAGAGTCCCCAGTCATCTTCTGCATAGAAGGAAGTACCAGAACTAACATGCTAGAAAGCATCAGGCATCTTTACAAGGAACATCAGAAAAACTGCACAGGTTACATTTATATATTTAGGAACATAGCAACACTTAATGAAAAAAAAAAGCCTAAGTGAATTCTAAAGAAAGCAAGTAATGGTATATGGGAAGATTTGAAGCAAGAAAAAGAGAAGAGCAATATTATGTGATTATATTATAGTCTCAAAAATTAAAAGAACTTTTAGAAAGGAGGCAAGGAAGAGAAATTAACAAATATCCCCTGCTTTCTCAGCAAACTCAACTCTGTGGCCAACACAGAGAAGAAGGAAGAGCCTGGGTGACAAGGATGTGTCTGGAAGCTTGACAATTGCTTGAGAGACTGGCTGGCTCTGAGGTTCCCATAAAATTCTCCCACAAAGCTACTAGATTTACAAGGGTTTTGCCATCAATTGCCATATTGACCCATGAAGATAGATTTCTAACTAGTTCTACATAAAAACTACTTTGTCCTTCACCCTCCCCAAACACTGCAGTCCCAGCCAAGGACTCATTAAATTAATTCTCTTTTTGTGTCCATGGAACCTATATCAGTACAGTCATCATCTTGTTCCCTCCACAATATACAACAATGTCCCCATACTCTATCTTCCTTGATTGTCAGGGCAGGCAATATATAATACTCACATATAAAGAGGTAGGAACTGAGGGTTAGATTCAAAGAGCCTGTCCTTAAGTCACCCAAGATGTCTGCTCTAAGGTGAGTGTTCATTTCTTACAGTGTATAGCTGTAGTTGTTTGGGCTCCTGGCATAGCTATGGGTTTGGAGCCTTTGGAAATGCCTTGATGAAGTTTCTGTCATTCCTGCCATGAGAGGAACAGGACAACAGCTAGAAACCCTTTCAAAAACATTTCAGAGATTCCAGTTTTAATCTTATATAACTTACTTAGCTTCTACGGACTAAACCAGACCTCCATGCATAAGCAGTCCATAAGTTAGAGAGCCACACAGGTACCTTAAGCTGTGTCTCAACATGGGATATTTTAATCCAGTTCCAAGTATGAGCTCGAGAAGAGTTAAAAACTTAAATCATTCTGCCCTCCAGATAGCAAGGAACTATAAAAAACTTAGTCTTTTCAAGAAACAATAATTCAGTAGTGATTTGGTGTGTATGACTTGGCACTGAAGGTTCTGCATTCCAGTAACAATCCGTTGAGCTAAGAAATCTACTGGCTTGAAAGACATCAAGAACAGCTTGACCCCTACCATTTATTACTTCATAAAACCATAGAATTTCTTGGGAGGAGGCTATTACTCAAAGCTCACATAGCTTTGCATCTCTGAAGAGGGTGAAGGCAGAAAATGTATGCCCAAGATTCAAAACCAAGAGACTGTGGCAAAGCCGAGTCCTCCGGATGCCACTGTAGTGTGTCTAGAAGCTGGGAGGTTTCTGCTCTTTCTAGATGTTCAGCAATATTACAGGGAACAAGACAGTTAGACAAAGAGCACCAAGATGCAGATCAAAGTTATAAAAATTGGGTTTAGTTTATTATTAATTGTAAAGAGATTCTATCTGAATTATCTGCGGTGTCCTGTAAATGAAGGGGTTGGGGGTAGATCAGAGCTCTCTAATCTCACATACAAATCCTGCCTGCATACTCCAAGTTCCATAGCATTTATGGTTTCTAGAACTAACCATAGAAATACTAAACTGACTTTATATTCAAGTTTTGAAATTGGAACATGGACTAACAACCCAGAGGTGGGATATTTCAGGAAGCCAGTTCCTTAGTGTCATTCTCAAGAGAAAACAATGCTGAAACGTGCACCAGGTCACAAGTCCAGCCAATACCTCCCTGGGATAAAAGAAACTATTGTGTGTTTCAGACTCCCATCCACAGACAGGGAGCAAACCCTAACAATGCTTCTAGGCAGACAGGCAAATAAACTGGGATCTGAAGCACCAAAGGAATCTTTCTAACAGCTACGATCTAACAATTCATTCCTCTGTCAAAATATCCAACAGCTTCTCAAGGCCTCACACTCAGTCCTAAGCCTAACTCCTGGGGTTCCATCTGGCTCCAGCTCACCCATTGTGATTGCTAGGATGTCTTCCTGGGATCACCTTCCAGGTTTCTCTGTTAACATTCACTCTACCCTTGCTGTTTTATTTGAGCTCAACACATTCTGCTGTTTTATGGGTCCATGCCTCTGATGCCTCTCTATGGATTGCTCTCCCACCCCATTCCACCCCTGTACCTCTGCTCTCCTTAATCTCCTATCCTTGATGCAAACCTAGCTCAGATATACCTTAGCTGAGAGTCTCTCTTCCCTCACTGTAACTGATTATACTGATCAGAGACTCATCCTCAAATCCATCTTCAAAATGACTACTTCTTTTAGAGGGCAAAGGACATGTCTAATTCATGGGGGAAAACAAGAAAAACACTTCCGGAGACATAAAATTTAAAGCTAGACACTGGAGCTGGGGAAAGATACGCAAAGGAAAGG